CTGCAATTTCTTTATCTGCATATAGGGTTAGTAATTCAGCTTACCACTAAATGGGGGATATTGTAAGAGTAAATGAGATGATGAATGTAAAAAGCTTAGAACTATGCCTGAAACATAGTAAGCAGACAAAATATATTGACTATTATTATTACCGTTGTTTTCTTGTTGAAGTGTTTATTTCTGATATATTGGGTGAATATGATTCTTATATAATAATCGGCTAAGTTTTTGTGAGCCTTGAAACTGGTCATGCTATTGAATAGCGTTGATTGTGTTCCCTATGCAGTTATACAGCGGTGAGAATTTCACAGGCTGTGCCCAAAGGAAACTTTATGATTAGTAGATTCCCGGAACAGAATTGCTCCCCTGCTTCACAGCCCTGCAGGCTGAGAGACTGAGAAATCCTAGCTAAGTTGTCAGCGACGTTATTGGCTTGTAAGAGTTGACCCTGGATTGGACTTGGCCTTCCAGCCTGGGCAGTCCTTCCAGGGAAGTTTGACTTCCCTGGTCATCAGGCAGAATCTCCATCCGCTGTCAACTCTGGGTAACAACCTTTAAGAACCAAAATAAATGCCTGAGTTGTTTGTGCCTAATATGCCAAGGTACTCCTTATATGTACCCAAAACTCCTTAGACCAAAAAGCCTGGTGGCCGTATCTTGCCTTGAGGCAAGCTGTATTGTCCAAAGGGTACATGGGCCAGTTTCTGCCAGTAGAGAGTTCAAATGCTCTGTCTGTCTCTGTCTCCAAAGCTTTGTTCATTGTAACTGGTAGAATTTTGGTCCCAGGGAGTAAGCACTTGCCTTGCTTCTAATAGGAAGTATCTATTATAGTCCAGTGGTATCTCTCCCAGGTTTGAACTCACTTTGACCCCCACCTAATAATGCCTTCCTATTTAATTGTATTGTGATTGAACATTTTTGTTTCCACAGCTTTTAATTTCTATGTCCTTATTCCTTAGTTCTTATTTCTAAGATCATAAAGCTTTTGAACCAAAGTTGATACTTCCTATATATGTCTTCACAAATAATTATAATAAAAACTGACGTGTCAGATGAGGGAACTTCTAGGAAAATGCTCTTATTTTCTGCTTTTAGAAGTCAAAAGAATGTCTAATTATTCGGTGCTACCATTGTATACAGGAAGTTTTAGAACAAGAATACTTCTGAATTGATCCTTGTTAACTTTATTACAGAAAGTGGTGAAACAGCTGTGGCATATAGACCCTGTGAAGATGTCACAGATGCTAGAACCGAAGAGGAACTACAGGATTTAATTCAAGTATGTGGAGTTAAAAACTCAAGAGGTACATAGCCAGTGTAGCCATAATTCAAAACAACCAGCAGGATTTGGAAGACTTCAGCATGTCTACTCAGCCCTGTCTTCCTTAGGGAAATGTGAAACTCTGAAAGTACTTTTGAGGCAGGGAATTTCTAGGACTTTTCCAAGTCCCGAGCCTTGTCTCTGGTCCCTATATGAAGTTTGGAGAGCAGGATTGAGGGCCACCAGTGTACGTCTACGTTTGTGGACACAGGAGAAGACACAGGCCTTTTAGAGCTCCCCTCAAATAGAATTGCAGGGACTTGGGAACAAAGTAACTATGGTTTTAAGTGTGATTATGCTACACTGTTTAAAAACTATTCATGCCTTTCAAGTAAGGTATATTACCCAGATCTCAACATCTCATATATATCTTGTGTTAAATATTTTGCCAAAGAACCTTTCTGTAAACGAGTTATATGGATACCTCGAATTAGGGATTAAGTTGTCAATGTAATTTCTGAAAGAAAACATTAGTGTACTGCATATAGGATTTTTATTTAAAAGGAGCAAAAAATGTGTTTCATGTCATTGAGAGCTTAATTTTTGGCTAGATTTCTGATTATTTAACTCCCCCCAATGTTGCAAAGTTTGTTTTGAAGGAAAGAAAGTAGAGAAAGAAAAGGTGGTTATGTTCTGAAAAATGTAAAAATTTTGGAAGTTTTTTCCTGTACAAACTAATTATTTTAAATCAATTTAAATCAGTCAAGGGAACTTGAAACGTATCCATGTTTGGGCTTTAAGAAGTCTAGCTTCCTATGAAATGTGAGAGGAAAGTGTTCCGTATTGATACAAAAGTTTCTGGAAACCTAATTATAACAACAGATCCACTCCTAAATGAGGCCAATCTTGGAATCAGTTCCATTTAGAAACCATCATGTGCTAGGCACTGGAAATAAGGTGAAGATCCTTCTCTCTTGGAGTTTAGGTGTTAAAGGTGTAGCAGATGATTAAAAAGGAGTAAAATTAAATAGATTATGAAAAGGACTGTGAAGAAATTAAACTTCGTGCTAGTTACGGTATTTCAAGAAGATTACTTATCATGCTTACTTTAACATTCTAAGTGTCTTCTCCATATGTGCACACAGGGTAGACCTCTGAAAAGTGACACTGTAGTTTTTTCTACATTAATGGCTCTGTTGAGACAAGGTGGGATGGGGGAAGTCTTCCCATGCTAATGTAAAGGGCCATTCACTTGGTTTTAGACTCTCTTTCCCAGAATGAATTGCTCACCTGCCCCAAACCCCTCCTACAGAAGTTCTGGAGTCATCACTGATTCAGTGGTGACCCCTAATAACAAAATGGTGTATGAATATTGAGACGTGAATACTGAGAGTTTGGAGGAAATGGCAACATTTTCGAATAATTGTAAGGTGTGTTCCCCTTCCGCCACCCTAACTGGTGCTCATTTCGCAGGTCAGCTACTTTTCTTGTCAGCCGTGTGGCCAAAGGCAGGAAGAATGTCTCTCAGACTTCAGCTTTGAGAAGGAAGAGTTCAGATCGCCAGAACTGGACTAGCACTTTTGAATTTCCCAGAATGCCAGGTCCTTTGGTTTCCTCGGGAAGCTCTGCATCCTTCCCTCCCCAGTCCACCCCTGGGCTGCTGCAGTTTGGGGCCACTCGGGTCTGCAGCCCAAATCCCGCCTCATTGTTTGGGGCCAGGGTGGGCAGGGCGGGGTTGGGAAGAGGGCCGGCAGGAGGTAATTGTTGCCTTTGCAAGGGGAAGGATGGCTTGCGCCCTGGGAACTCTGGGAAAAAGGCCCACTCTGGTGGCGCAGATTGGATCTCCGCAGGAGCCTAATAACTGTGGCGCATCTGAAGACGTCATAAATAACGGGAGGGACGTTAGGCGGGGGCGGGGTGCGCGGTTGCTAACGTGAGCCGTCGCGTAGGCGCTGGCATAGCGGTTCAGCTGGGAAGCAGCATGTGCTTCCGGCTCCTCAGTGGCCTGGGGCACTGCCCCTGGAGCCGCCGCATGTTATGTCCCGGCTGCGCCATTGGTTGCCTCGGCTCTTCCTCACATGGCAAGCACGGTGGCTTCTAGTCCAGGCAGTTAAGCCTCCGGAGTGGGCCCTGGGCCCCGTCCAGGTGACCCCCAATCCCCCGCGGCTGACAGAGGCTTGGTCTTCACAGGCCTCAGACCCTGCTCCCAAATGGCCCCATGCCCTTACACCCCTGGCAGAAGCCGTGGGCTTTAATTAATGTCCTTGTCTCCAGTCCAGATGTTGGCCCCCCCTCATCAGGAGTTGACTGAGACTGAGGTTCCTTACCCGGATACGGATTCGGTTTGAGAGCTGCCCCCAGGGCCAGATCAGTTTGCTATTCCACATCAGGATCTGAATAACAAACAAACCCAACATCAAAAGCTCCCAGAGGCAGTTCCAGTGCAAGACTGGGATCAGAATCAGCCCTTTGTTCTCCCTTCTCCACACAAAAGTAAGACTAAACACATAGGCGTAGATGAGGCTGAAGGTCACCAATCATTTGAAATACTGTTCCACCTCTAGGTAGTAACAGTTCAAAACCAATGAAGTTTATGGTTTCACCCCCAAACCTGAAGAAAGATCTAGTTTAGCATCAACGACTTGACAAAACTATTGTTGGAAGTACAGGCCAATTTCAAAAAAAACACTCAGGGTCTAGAACGACAGTTGCAGGGTGATTATTTAGATCCCAGTATGGATGCCATTTATCCTGAGGAGTGCCTACCTACGGATTTTTTGGGAAACCCAGATGAACCTACAGAACCCCCTGAGGAAGCTGAAATTTCTCCATCCCAGCAGGATGGCCCAGTGCTAAGTTTGATCACTTGATTAAGGTGGTTTCTTCCATATCTCTCCATTGTAAAGTTATTTTTCCCCTTTGTAATTGATAAATAATCTGTGGGGTGATACTTTGGGATCAGTGAAGATCCTACTTTCAAACAACTCTTCACCCAACTGTGCATCAATGATAATCTTTGTCTGAATCAGTTATTACATTGATAGTTGCAAAATGACACTTTCCTATTCTATCATCCATTTTGCATTTATTAGCTGACAATATTCTATACAGAAGAGCTCCCCCACTTTTCATTTTGAGTATCACTATGAACTCGTGCTTTTTTTAAAATTAACTATGTTATACCTTATTATAATGATAATGTTATTGTTTGGAATGTTCCTTTTGTCTAGATTTGGCCAATGCAATCTCTGTTATTGTTTAACCACACGATGCTTTTTTATTACTAGAATAACTTCTAATATATTACTACTCACAAAAGGGAACTGATAAAGGGATTCCAGAAGGTACGGTCTTATTCAGACTCTTCTTAGAAGTCTGCCTTCTTCCTGTGTACTCTCAACCCAAAGTGAGGCTTTTGGGTTGGAAGGAGATACTTCTGAATTAAACTACAGATCAATGTCACCCAATTCTAATCCCTATTCCCTTTTTTCTAGGCATACCATATCTACTGCCATCCTAATCCTTCTGTTGGGCACCTCTCTCCTCCTCTGTATTTATTTACAACAGTCAAGAGCAGCAATTGGCCAACTGGCCCCTATCCAGTTCTGCAGTCCATTCGCCCCAAGAACTCCTTTTTGCACTGGTCTGTGGTAGCCTTGGCCAACCTCTTCTACCTACTCAAGTAACTCTTTTACCACGAATTTAATTATCTGTGTTTCCATTTATAGGAACTTACCTAGCCGTGTGGCCTGCTGCCTCTGCCAATTTAAAAATACCATTGAGGTTGTCTAAGAGAGTCAAGCTGTGTTCTGACAGTGGATGCCTGACAGACGTCACACGTTGTGGTGAGTCTCAACTGTGGGATAATAAGTTTTTAATTTAATTTTTAATCAATGATGATAATTTAAAAAATTAATTTAAAATTAAAATTAATGATGTAATTTCATTATTTTAATTAATTCATTCAGAATTCCAACTCCCTAAGTTTCTAAGAACTACCCCCTTGGTAAGAATCAGAGTCTTGGTTACATTATTAAGCTAATAGTTGCTCAGTTACATTGTTAGCTTAATAATGTTACTGATCCACATACATAAAGGGACAAGAGAAAGGAATGGAAGTGGGAAGGGAATTAACATTAATGGCCACATATCCTATGCTGTGCTCTCTGCAAATGAGAACTTATTGATATAGTGCATCACAGTTTGTTAACTGATTTTATATACATTAGGTCTCAGTTACCCTTTGTCTTATAGGACAGGTGTAAATATATTTTTATTTATTTTGTTTGTTTCTGCAATTTTATAAAGAGTACAAGTGATGCTGTTTTATGTCCTATTTGGAGCCTGGGATTTCTGGTTCCATAACCGGAAGCTGCTACCTAGCCTTTCTAATGGATGGGAGAGCTAGTTTATTCTTAGACTGTCCAGCTCTGAACTTGCTGTGAATCTCAAACTTTTCTATCCACAAAACACTCAGGGGCTTTCAACTATTTTTCTATATATTAGATTTATTGGCACTAACTTGGTGACTTCCAAAATGTGCTTTCATGCCCACGTAGCTTGAATACAGGTCTCTATCACTGATCTAGAGCACATCATAAATAATAACACTTTGCTACTTATATAAAGACAATATTGCTGATTTTTCAACACAATTTTTTTTTTTTGTCTGTGACACACAGCTTGTGGGATCTTATCTCCACAGCCAGGGATTGAACCCGGGCCACAGCAGGGAAAGTGCCGGGTCCTAACCACTAGACCACCAGGGAACTCCCCCAAACAATTTTTTTTACTAGTTGTATTACTCCCTTCTCCCCCAGAAGTGGGCAGAAAAGCCATTTTAAATTTCCTTTTACAGGTGAGGAGAAACAAGATCAGAGGTGTTAAGTGCTATGACCCTAGTGCCCCTATCTCCTCTCCCCAGTTTGGGGCTCTCTGCAAGCCCATGCTCCTCCTTTCTCATGACCCTTCCCTCCTCCTTTGACCCTCAGGAAAAATACTTTTAATCCTTTTGGAAGAGAAGCCCAGCTACACAATGGTATACATTACCTTCACACAGTCAGAAGCTTTGGATGGTTCCCCAAGTAAAGCTGGAAATATTAGAAGTAAAATGAAATGAAAGCAAAGTAGCCATCTGACAGAAGTTGCTTTTTCCCTTCTGCATTTTGGACCTCAAGTAGTATTCCATTGATTTGTTGAACATTCCACGTTGGCCTACAATTGGGCAAATCTCTTATACCCCAGATCCCTGCCCAAATTTTAGCAAAGAGCTCGGGCGGACATAGTGCTTTTTTTTTCTGTATAGAGCCTTCTGTTATGAGGGCTGGGATATATGGAAGCAGGGACTGAGCAAAGGACTCGGTGGGTGGGTGGAGAAGGAAATGTCCAGATGACGACCTGTTAATGGCGGTTGTTGTCGTGGTCATCTGTGATAGTAGCAAGGACACAAGCACACTAAAGAGGTGGATAGAGGAAGACTCACACTCCTCTGCCTCTGAGGAAGGACAGGATGGGGTATATAAATTTGAGGAGTCACAGTAGATCTGCAGAGAGTCCAGCTGAGTAGGGGAATATTTGTCTTCCAGCCTTGGACTTTCTTCAGTTCTGGCCCCTGGGAACCAGTGGAGTAATCCTGAATATAGTTAGTATATTTCACGCTACAGAATTTCTGAGTAGATAGCCACTTTTTCAAGAGATATCTTTTTCGCATTTTGTTGTTGCCAGTCATAGGCTTAAGTATGTGTTTCTTTTTCTCCTAAGTGGCACTCAAACGTTGAGTGATTCCTAATTTATTTGGCTGTGGACTGACTAAAAGCTGTCCCATCAGTCTTCAATGATCAAAAACAGTTATTTTTGACAGATGAAGAAACATCTATAGGGAATGCAGAAGGATCGTTGATGAAGGTGTTACAAGCCTGGAAGAAGAACAGCAGCGAGCTGACTATTGAGTCAGAGAGGGCATCCTCAGATAAAGTGCTGTCAGCTTGTCAGGCTTCATGAATGAGCAGCTGGACTTTAATAATAGAAGTGATATTATCAGTGCACTGAATTACATACTGTCTTTTATCTCAGAGGGGAATCTAGAAGATGTGGAATCAACATTATTACCATTCATTCAACTTCTTTTTTCAAATACACAAGATGGAGATATGCCACTGGGCATTTTGAAAATCAATACAAGGAGCCCTTCTGTTAAAGCTGTACCCAACAATTCAACTAGTAAAAATAAATTGAAGAAACTTCACTTTCTGGAAAATTTTTAGATGCAGAAACTGAAGAAAAATTTGCTGAGGTTAAAAAGGAAGAAAAACCTGCCACGCATACACGTTCCAACCATTTAAGTGCCACGTTTAAACTCTACATCTTTCAAAAGAAATTGGAAGCTGCCCAACCACAGAAAGACAGCCTAGCAAAGATTGAGATTACAGAGAAACATCTGCTGAGAGTGAACAGGGTCCTCAGGGGCCCAAGGGGCATACAGAAAATGCACCTCAAAGCAGTGGGAGATGAGAGCGTCAGGAAGAAACAGAATGCCCAGCAATCTGTGGCGAACACTGCCAAAGAAAGAAGGCTCAGGAGGCCATCCGCAAGAAAGCTGAAACAGCTTCTCATGGTGCAGAGGCCCAGGAAGCTGGTGGGAAAGTCGTCCAATGCAGAGTCTTCATTCATAAAGGAACCCAAGGCAGCAGGCTCCTCTTCCCTGAAACAGGCCTTCTGCCTCCATCCCTCCAAAATCCCCATCTGAGGTTAAAAGCAAATCAAAGACTTATCCCACACTATTTTTGTTTAAGAAGCTGTAAAGGCTAGAGTTAGAAATATTGAGGCTTCTGAACTAATCTCACCTTCTGGTGAAAAATACATCTTCCATAAAACTCAGTCTCATCGGGTCCACAGAAAACCCAAAGTCAAAAGGAGTCGAAAGTTCAGAAAGAAAAGTTCACTCAATAGAATGATGCTTGCAAGCTGTCCGTTCTCTGTAGCAAGGAGTCTCATAAATTCCCCTCCACGAGAGGCTGTTTCACCTTCAAGAGAAGTGACTTCTCAGGAAAATCCTTTTCTAGCATTATTTTCTCTTTCAGACCATTCTACAGAACACACTACTTCAGAAAACAATACTGCACAAAATGTTTCTGATGAAATTATTTCTAGAGGAAACTCTACTCTGCCAGGAGGAAACGGCCCTGGAAACACTACCCATAGGAATGTCTTCACTGCACATTCTACTGTTGCTGCAGACAATAGTATGCCAACTGTTCAACACACCAACAAAACACAATGGGAGTACCACAACACGGGCACTGAATTATCCTCCAAGCCCACAGGCTTCACTTTCCCAGGGCTCACGTCCCCAGGTGATCAAGTTGAAACTCAGCTAAACCAGCAGCTACGGTCCCTCATCCCCAACAATGACATGCAAAGGCTCATTTCTCATGTTATCCAGACTTTGAAAAGGGACTGCTCAGAGACCCACGTGCAGCTGGCCTGTGCCAACCTCATGTCTCAATGAGGCCTCCTGATGAAACTTCTCAGCAAGAAGTAAATGTTTCCAAAGCAGAATGGCATACGGAGCAGTGGAAAACTGACAACTATATCAGTGAGAGCACAGAAGCCCAGAGTGAGCAGAAAGAGCAGGAGTCAAGTGAGGTGAGGATAACCCCTGACACATGGGAGCTGGACTTTCACTCAGTTTAGGACATGCCATTAACGTGCCCAGGCAGGAATACCACAGCCTCCTAGTCTGTATCTTTTCTTCAGCCATGAAACTGGCTAAGACAGTGATCTCCCACTTTGCTCGTTTAGAGAGTGTGCCACTATTCCTAGGGTAGACAAGAAAAGCCATAACACAAGATAAATAATGTGTAGATAAATTGTAGAAGAAATTGATAATGATAAGATTATTAACATTAAATTTGGCTTGTTCTTATAGAAGCTACTCGCCTGAAAGGATTGGCTTTTATAGTATTTTAAGAATAGTTAAGTATCATTTAGAATAGGATTAAAAATAGTTACCTTTCATCCCTTCCATCTCCTTGTTTTAAAAGAATTATTATTTATTATTTTTAGCTCACAAAAGAAGTTCCAGGATATGGCTATAACAACAAACTCATCTTGGCAATATCTGTATCTGTAGTAGTGACGATTTTGGTTACAATTCTCTGTCTCATTGAGGTAAGGACGATAATTAATTCAGATTCAGAACCCACAAACTGAGAATCAAAGCCACCTTTCCTCCTACTACCACTTGATTCTTGTCTTTAATCATGAGGACTGAATACACTTTGTTCTTCTACTGAAAAGTATATTCCCAGGATTTTTGTTTGTTTGTTTGTGCTTTTGTTTGTTTTTTTTGTCTGCGTTGGGTCTTCATTGCGGTGCGCAGGCTTCTCATTGTGGTGGCTACTCTTGTTGTGGAGTACGGGCTCTAGGCACGCGGGCTCAGGAATTGTGGCGCACGGACTTAGTTGCTACACAGCATGTGGGACCTTCCCACACCAGGAATCAAACCCGCGTCCCCTTCACTTGCAGGCGAATTCTTAACCACTGTGCCACCAGGGAAGTCCCCACAGGATTTTTAAGGGAACTCCACTCCCAGGAGATCTCTATGGAATTGGATCCATGGTAACAAGCCATTGGACTATTTTGACAAGTGAAGTTTATAAGAAGGCCAGAGTTGACATGATAGTAAAATTTCTTCAACACAAAAAACTATGCTGATTTGTTGTACTCACCAGTCACTCTCATTGTACTGTTGATTTCTTTACTTGTTGGCTGAAATGATGAGAGATATAGGATCTCCATACTCATGGAGCTATCAGTCACCCTGGGAGGGCTAAAAGGACATGCCTAAAAGATAAAAGTGTGATCTCGTCAATTCCTTAGGTTTACTTAGCAGCTTTCTTCTCCGGTGTATTAGGAATTGTGTAGATATGTTCCATTAAAACACTGCAAGTAAAATCGTGCAGCAGGCTACCCTAAAGTATGTCATATTTATAGTAGCCTATTCCTGGAGCTAGCCTGTTTACCTTTTGTTCAGTTACATAATGGTTTATTACTTTTGGCAGTTGCTAACATTAAAAGAGTGACTTTAATAAGCTGACAATCTTGATTCTACCCTACCAATCCAACCTACTTTATTGACCTTTTCTCTTGTAACGGCAGCCCCCCATTCCAGCCAAAGCAGCTCCTCACTATACGCGAGTTACACCATACCCATTCCTACTTTTGTCTGTGCCTTTACCCATCGAAAATTCCTTTATTTTGCTTTGCCTGTGGAAGTCCTATGAATCTCTCACAAACCAACTCAAGTTCAGATACCTTTCTTCATAAAGCCTTCCCTGAATACTCCAGCCCTCCTGATCCTTGTCCTGTGAGGTTTGTCACCAGTTCTTAGGGGCCATAGCAAAGCAGTCCCCTCCCCTCAGAACTCACAAAAGTGGTAAGCAGTTTTTTAAAAGGCAGCCCCCCAGGAGAGAAACACCAAGGTTAGCACATCGTGGAGCTGAGCAGAGATGTGTAAGGACCAATGGCTTCCTGGCCTATCAGACTTGAATAAAACCTGACATGATGTACTAACTTCTCAAGAGAAATGTGTCTATCTGCAGGAGGCCTCGTCAGTAGTGAAAGCATAGAAAAGGTGAGGAGAGAACAACATGGGCAGTGCCCATCCTCACATTGCCCGAGAGTAGAGATGGCACCTTAGGCAGCATAACTGAAGAGTGAGGCCCACCAGCCAGGCTGTGCCTGTTGAGGAGCTGGATGGATCCAGCTACCTCAGGCGTTCCCATTAAATTCTCGATTCAGCTGATTCCTTTTCTAATTCTGTTCTCACCAAGTAGCCTTTGACTGTGTGATTGTGCTTGAGTGTGCCATGGAGGCCTGTCTCCACAGAAGGTAATTCACTGATTGTGCAGACACGGATGCCCTGTGTGTAGAACAGATGTATTTCTCATTGTCAAGTAATAATTTGGCATTCTGATTTTTGATCAATCCTGTGATATTGATAAAATGAGACCACCACAACAGGAAGACATGAGTTCTCTCTTGGTGCAGAAGAGGATGATTTCTGAGCCTCAGAGGCTGGTGACTAGCATGGGGTCAGCTTGCTAGTCATTGGCCATTGCCCAGACTGTACCCTCTACATCTCCAGGTGGCATATGTCCTTTTGCTTTTTTACAATTTCTGTAAAGTCCCCTTTTTATTGTTTTTAACTTCTATGTAGTTTAACCTTGCATTTGTTTCCTTTTGTTTTGATTTCGCCTGCGAGATCTTAGTTCCCCAAGTAGGGATTAAACCTGTACCCTCGGCAGTGAAAGCAAGGAGTCCTAACCATTATTTCCTCTCCCCACTTATATGATAGGCTTTTTGAGAACAGGGGCCATGCAGTGCTCTTCCTTTGGTAGACAATAATGGTGTTCAACGGAAGAGAGATGAGGCGTTATGTCAATTCCACAGTGAGGAATAATGTAGCCGAATATTTATGTGAAGTAGCATAGAGTCCAGCAATAGACCCATGTTTTCTTAAGACTTTTGAAATGTCATGTTTTAATATTCGAATCAGTGGAAAAAAATGAATTAATGGTGATGGAATAGCTGCCTAACTATTTGGGGGGTAAATAATAGCAGATCCCCATTTTTCATCTTAAATAAACATATTTCCATAAATGTGAAGAAAGACCACATAAAGGTATTAGAAGAAAATAAAAGCAATATTTTTATAATCTTATGGTGGGAAAGAGCCTTCAGAGCCTGATGCCACAAGCAGAGCCTTTGACATATTCCGCCATCTTGTCTGTGACACCAGCTTAGCACTGATTCATGCCAAGCATAAGAAGAAGAATTTTCCATATATTGTCTGATTTTATGCCCACAGTCCTGTAAGGATGATATTACTATCCCTCTGTCATAGATGAAGGAGATCAGTGTAAGGCCCCAGTGGCCAAACCAAAAGCTGAAGCCAGTTTCACCCGACTGCAAAGCTTGTGCTCCCTACTCCACTCTTTTGTCTCCTTAGAGACAAAAAAAAACTGGAAAGATTCGAAACACTGAAATACAATGAAAGCCAGCATTTCTTTACTATAAGGAGTTTTTTGTTTGTTTGTTTGGGCGTGGCGGGGTTTGGCCATGCTGTGCAGCTTGCGGGATGTTAGTTCCCTGACCAGGGATTGAACCTCGGGCCACAGCAGTGAAAGAGCCAAGGCATAACCACTGGACCACCAGGGAACTCCCAAGAGTTTTATAAGTCAACAACAAGACAAACAGTCCAGGGAAAAAGGGGGCAAGTGCTGTGAAGAGTAGGATGTGTGTTGACAGTCAGCCACCATATCTGCCCGACCTCTCCTCATGGCTCGTGTGCGGTGGGTTTTGTTAGCCAGGCCTTTGTCACCTCGTGACGTAAAAATAATCCATAATATTTTCTTCAAGTACTTTAATAATCTGTCTAGAATTTGTTGTATTTGTTTTTTCGTGTGGCTGAGGTAGGGGATCTAACATTTTCCCCCTATATGAAGATCTAATTGTTTTCAAAACTTTCACTGAATGGTTTAGTCTTTCTTCCCTGGTCTAATATACTATCTTTATCTGGACTCTATTCTGTGATCCAGTTATCTTGTCCTGTACCAGTACCAATATCACACTGCTTAATTCCAGTTGCTCTATAACATATGTTATATCTGGTAGGGCAAGATCCTACTCTTTGACCTTCTTTTTCATACATTTCATAACTATTCTTACATATATTCTCTACCAAATGTCTGCTGGCCAGGTTTTACTTAAAGTTATTTTGTCTATAAATAGATTGCATTGAATTTGGAGGTTACTGTGAAGAGAATTGACCTCTTTACAACCTTCTAGGAGGATGGTATCTCATGCCATGTGAGTACATCTTCTTAATGTCCTTCAGAAAAGTTTTAATATTTTCATCACATAGGTCTTACAAATTTTTGGTTAAGTTTATTCCTAGGTACGTTATGCATTTCTACTGATACAGTAAATGGGAGGTGTCTTCTGTTTTTCAGTTAGTTATTTGTGTTATATGGGAAAGCTATTGAGGCTTATATGTGGATCTCTTGATTTTGTATGGAGCCATCTTACTCATGTTGCTTCCAATAAAATTTCGGTTGATTCTTTTGGTCTTTTTAGGTCCCTCATTTCACGTGCAAATATTTTTGTCTCTTCCTTTCCAATACTTCGTTTTTCTTATCATACTGATTAAGATCTCCTCCACAGTGATCAATAGTAGCAGTAATCATGGGCATCCTACTCTTGGTCTTGACTTTAAAACAATGCTTAGGTTTCTGCTAGATACTTTTATTTTCTTTTTCTACTTCTAAGAGTTTTTATTAGGAATTATGTGTTGAACATTATCTAAAACAGTCAATAAAATATCTTGCCTACTGCATGCAAGTCCCTATGTTAGGTACTGTGGAAGAGTCAAAGGATTATTAAACAGGGTAGAATTCCTTTCCTTAAAAAAGTTATCACCTCACTGGGTAGATAAGATTTAAAGTAAAAAGGAATGAATAAGGATTTGGAAATAGTTGTAATGGCTAATCATGATCACGTTTTCTTTCAAAACAGATTTATTCTCATAGAATTGCAAAAGAGGAAGATAAAAAAAGAAGCAGAAGGTAAATATTGGTTTTGAAAGCAGAATTTTACAACTAGAGGAGAACTTAGAACTCATCTATTTCAATTTCCTGACCAAAGGCAGGAAGAATGTTTAATTACCCTAATGGTTTACCCTAATTTATTTATTAGCAGAATTAGCTCCCCAGCCCAAGCTGACTTAGAACAGGACTGGCACCGATTCATCTGCTTTCGCTAGTCCTTTAAGGAAAGAGGGTGGACGGGGAGAGGTTTTGGTTGTACCTGTTCCTGCTGGCCTGATGCCTGGTTCCTAGGCATCAGGCCAGGCAAGAGGCCTTCTAGGAGGCTCTGGGGTAGGGAAGGCCACATGGTTGGGGATGTAGGGGCTGTCCTCACTCAATGCTGACAAAAGGTAGAACATATGAGTCCCTTCTGTAATTTGGCAAGGAAACTTCGCTTCTCATCCTACTGCTTTTTATGCCCCTACTCTCTATTCCCTTTATCCTAACCTCATAGAATTTTAACTGGGAGAAACGTCAGACAGTAGTTTGTCTCTTCCTTCTATAATAAGGAAATGGAGAAGGAGAAAATATCTTGCCCTATGGTCATACTGCTCGTGATTATCAAAAAGAAGAGTGTCTCTTTCCACTGAGGACTTCTCTACTGATCGCACTGTGCTCGGGCTGTGAGCTACGTTTTATGTCACGATTCAGTATACACATACTATATGGACATAAGTAGTTTCTGAAACAAACTTATTGTGCACTCTGATTTTTTTCTCTTCTATTTATAATCAAAAAGAGTATTTTGTGTTTCCCTGCTGGTCATGGCCTTTAAACTGATCCCACAATTCACTGACACCTCAGTGACAGCCTGCAGTATGAAAGTCAGAGAGGTATAGATAACTTTGCTCGTTGGTTTCAGGTGTTTACTTGGTGTGATTCAACTTACAGGATAGAGCAGCCAGGAAAATAAAAGCACCTTCTCCCCACACCCACACCCCCAGCAAATGCTGCATGTGCGACTATGTCCGAAGCGGACTGGTGTGAAGCGCATCTAGAGAGTAACGTGTTTTTGCCCAGCGCCGTTGTGCAGTGTTTGCACGATGGCACTCGGCCAAGGACCAAGAAAGGGGAGTGGGGCTGAAAATCCTGCCTATACTCCATGCTAAGCTACATCTAAAGGTCTCCCCAGAGACACTAGGGGGCCATTTTGGACAGACACAGAGAACTTCTGGAAGGCCAGCATGCGTGCAGTGATTTTCAGGATCCCGGGTCTGTTGTGATTTTGCTCATTGTGATTATGGACTGAGGTACCCATTTAGTCCTAATAAGACCAGAGATAACACATTGTGAGAGAGATGAAAAATGACATGTAACACTAACTGTGTGTGTTTTCCTCCAAGGGGCTTTTTTCGATTTCTGCTGCATAAGAGAAGCTCGGGGGAAAGTGAGAGTCAGGTAAGTTTGAGGAGGAGAAAGTACTGTGGCCAGAGAAAGCAGGGGAGATGCAGAATTAATATTTCCCTTTCTGTTTCTAGGAGGGCTCTTTCGGGAGAAGGCGGCCACTTTGACATAGGGATATGTATAGGCCTCTCAATGCCACACGCAAGGAAAATATGGCACACAAGCTACACGACAGGGAGTCTTCTGAGGAGGATATTTCTCCATCCCAGCAGAAGGCCCAAACTCGTAATCCTGAGCTCACTGAGGAGGCTGAATCTTTTCCCCAGGAGGGCCCTGCTCAGCATCCACAGACCCCTGAGGAGGTTGAATCTTTTTCACCCCAGGCAGAGGCCCAGACTCAGCATCCAGAGCCCACTGAAGAGGTAGAACCACCTCCACTTCAGCAGGAGGCTCCATCTCAGCCTTCAGAGGCCCCTGAGGAACTAGAAACTCCAAGTCCTCAAGAGGCCCTCACCCGGCCTTTGGAGACACTTAAGGAGCTTGTAGTTCGATCAGTAGCACATCATGGGGTAAATGAAGCTCAGCAGTCAAACTTGTACAATTTCACTATTAAACCTATGGATCTGGCACTTACCATAACTCCACAGGTCACTAAATAGGTTGATCCTTCTCCAGTCCAGCAGGGACCCTATCTCAGCCTCCAGAGAGCCATGAGGAGGTGAACCTTCTCTACTCCATCAAGACGCCCCAACTCAGGCTCCAGGTCTCCCTACTGAGTATGTACATGAAATTCCAGTGAGTGAAGAGGTAGCATCTCTACCTGGCGTTCAGCGTCACGCTCATTCCAACTTGCCCAGTGTTACACTTCAACCTCTGGATTTGGAACTTAACCATCACTCCAGAGCCCACTACGGAAGCTGAATTTCCTACAGCTCAGCAGGAGGCCCTGACTCCACCTCTTGAGCATCCTGAGGGGACAGAATCTTCTCCAACCCAACAAGAGACCTCAGCTAAGCCTCCAGAGCCTCCTGGAGAGGTTGAGCCTTCAAGGGAGCAGGAGCAACCAGCTCAGCGTTCTGAGCCTTCTGGGGAAGTTGAACCTTCTCCAACCCAGCAGGAGCCCACAGCTCAGCCCCCAGGGCCTCTTGTGGAAGCTGAGCCTTCTGCAAGTGAACAGGATCAACCGACTCAGCCTTCTGAGCCTACAGAGCCTCCTGAGGAGGTGAAAACAGCAACCCAGCAGGACATTCCAGCACAGCTTTCAGAGTCTTTTGGAGAACCTGAAACCTCTGCAACCAAGGAGGAAGCCTCAGCTCAGTATCCAGAGACCCCTAATGAGGCAGAATCTTCTGCAACCCAGCAGGAGATCCCAGCTCTGTCTCCAGCGGAGATAGAAACTTCTGCAGCCCTGCAGGAGCAACCAGCTCAGCCTCCAGAGCCTTCTTCTGGGGAGGTGGAACCTTCTCTGACTCAACAGGAACAGCCAGCTCAACCTCCAGAGCATCATGAAATGACAGGTTCACCTCCAAGTCACCCTCATGCTCAACATTCAGACTTATCCAGTGTCACTGTCAAACATGCAGATGTGGAGCTTACCATAACGAAAGAGCCCACTCCAGAGGTGGGACCTTCTCCAAATCAGCACAAACCTTCAGCTCAGCCCTCAGTGCCCCTTACTAATGCAGAATTTTCTACAATGCAACATGAGGCCCCCACACTGCCTTCACAGCCACCTGAGGAGGTTGAACTTTTGCCAGTTCAGCAGGAGGCTCCAGCTGAACTCTAGAAGACAGTACACATAATAGACCTTCAGTACAAGCGGAGACCCCAGCTCAGTATCCAGAGCATCGTGGAGAAGAAGTTGTACCTGCCACAAGCTAGCAGTAGACTCCAGATCAGCTTTCACAGGCTCCTGACGTACCTTCTCCACCTCAGCAGGAAGCCACAGCTCAGCATCCAGAGTCTCATGGTGAGGTGGAATCCTCTCCAACTCAGTCTCCAGAGCTCTCTAATGTGACTGTGGTTTTCTCTCCAGAGCATCCTGTGACAACAGTTTCTCCTCTAGGTCAGGATCAAGCTCAGCTTCTGCAGTGGCCCGATGTCACTGTTAAACCTGTGGATCTTGCACTTACCGTAACTCCAGCGTTCACTAATGAGGTTGAAACTTCTCCACCCCAACAAGAAACCTCGGCTCAGTCTACAGTGTCCCCTGAGCAGTTGGAACCTTTGTCAGTCCAGCAAGAATTTTCAGATCAGCATCCAACCCCCTCTGAGAATGTTGAACCTTCTCCAGTTCAGCAGGAAGCCCCAACTCAACCTGAAGAGCTTCCTGAGGAAACTGACCCTTCTGCAATCCAGCAGGAGAGCTCAGCTCAGCATCCAAAGCCCACTGAGTGGGTTGGACCTTCTCCAGTCCAGCATCAGCACCCAACTCAGCCTCTAGGGGCCTCTACAGATGGTGCAGCTCAACGTTTAGTACATAATGAAGTGACATTCTCACCTCTAGGTCCAGGTGAAGTTGAACACCCAGTGTTGCTTAATATCAGAGTTAAACCCGTGGTACCTGTGGTTGTCTTAACTCTAGAGCCCAGTAAGAGGTTGAACATCCTACAGTGCAGCAGGAGGACCCTACTCAGACTCCAGATCCCCCTGGAGGGATAGAGCTTTCTTTAATCCAGGACGAGGCCCCAGCTTAGTCTCCGGTTCCCCAGGGGAGCTCAGCTATATGTCCGTAGCCCCCTAGGGAGGTGGTACCTTCTCCCACAGAGCAGGAGCTTCAGGATCATTCATCAGAACTCTCTGCAAAGGTGGAACCATTTCCAGTCCCTCAAGGGACCCTTCCTCACCTTCTACAGCCCCCTGTGAACATGGAATCTTCTCCAGTCCAACAGGCGTTCCCACGCCTACCTCTGGAACCCCTTAAAGAGACAGAACCTTCTCCAGCTGAGCAGGAGACCCCATCTCAGCCTCCAGCACCACCTAAGGAGGTTGTAGCACAAACTCCAGTGCATTATGAGATGGCAGTTCCAACACTAGGACAGGATCAAGCTCAGCATTTAAACTTGCCCAGAGTCACAGTTAATCCTTTGAACCAGGGTCTTCCCACAACTCCAGAACCTACAATGGAGGCTGAATATTCTGCAGCCCTGCAGCAGACTGCAGTTCCTCCAACATAGCCCGAGGTGACATTTCCAAATGCAGAGCAAGTTCAGGCTCAGCATCCAACCTTGACAGAGGTCACAGTTCAACCTTTGGACCTTGAACTGACCATAAGGCCACAACCCACTAAGGAGGATGAACCTTCTCCAACCATGCAGGATAACTTAACACAGCCTCCAGAACCACCTAAGGAGGTTTTTGTAGCTCAGCTTCCAGTATATCAGAACCCAGTAGTTCCAACACCAGATCAGGATCACACTGAGCGTCCAGCATCACCCAGTGTCACAGTTCAACCTTTAGACCAGGGGCTTACCACAACTCCAGAACCTACTATGGAGGCTGAACATTCCACACCCCTGCAGGAGACTGTAGTTCCTCCAACATACCACGAGGTGACACTTCCAAATCCAGAGCAAGTTCAGGCTCAGCATCCAACCTTAACTGAGGTCACAGTTCAACCTTTGGACCTGGAACTTATGTTAACTCTGGAATCCACTTTGGAGGTTGATCCTTCTCCAACCATGCAGCAGACCCAAGCTCAGCCTCCAGAGCTCATTAGGAAGTTGTAGCTCAGTCTCCGCTGTACTCCAAAGTGACAGTTCCAGCCCCCGATCAGGATCATGCTGAGCATCCAGTATCACCCAGTATCACAGTTAAACCTTTGGACCTGGAACTTACCACAACTCCAGAACCTACTACAGAGTCTGAACATTCTGCAGCCCAGCAGCAGACTACAGCTCCCCCTCCAAAACACCCTGAGATGACACTTGCACAGCCAAACCTGACTCAACTCACAAATCAACCTATGGATGTGGAAATTAACATTACTGCAGGATCCAATATGGAGACTGTACCTTCTCCAATCATGCAGCACATCCCAACTCAGTCTCCAGAGGCACCTCAGTACATTGTACGTAAATCTCCATTCCAGCAGGAGGTGACAGTTCCAAATCCAAGTAAGGATCAAGGTCAGCATTCAACATCATCCAGCATCAGAGTTCATGATGTGGACCTAGAGCAAACCACCACTCCAGAATCCACTATGGAGGCTGGACATTGTACATCCCTCCAGCAGACTACAGCTTCCCCTCCAAAACACCCTGAGGTGACACTTGCACAACCAAACCTGACTCAAGTCACAGTTCTACCTGTGGGCCTGGGAGTTAGCATATCTCAGCAACCAAGGGCATCTGAGACGGTTCTTTTTCCTTCGACTCAGTATTCAGTATCCACAGGCCTTCCTGGTGTAAAATATACCCCAGAAAAGAAGCAGCCGGAACAGAATGCCACCACAAACTTCAGCATATGTGAGCTCTGTACCTGCACAAATGAGACGCTGTCGTGTGTTGGTCTCAGCCCAAGGCAGAAGCTCCACGGAGTGCCTGAGCCAGAGCCTAACGCCTACAATGGCACCTTCACCATCATGTAAGATTCGCCTCTCCTCATTTGTTCTCTGCATCCTGCCTGACATGGCAGCCTTTCTTCAGGTCTTCCTGGGTCCTCCTTTTCTCCCCAATCCACATTGACTGACTTTCTGTTTTCACCTTTTGTTTGTCAATGATTCCTTATCTTCCTTCTCCTTCTTACCATTTTTCCCTCTCCTCCAGTCTTTTACTTGTAATTGCCCTTATTTTTTCCTTCTCCATTTTTTACCCCATTATTTAATTCCTTAACATCTACTCTTCTCCCATCTTTATTCCATCGTCTTTACAGCAACATGTCCCTATCCCCATCTCATTGGTGGTAATACAACAAAGTAGTTAAGAGTAGAAATTCCGGAGCCAGACTAACTGGGTTTGAACCCAGGTCTGTCATTTATTAGCTTTATGACTCAATTTCCTCATCTGTAAAATGGGGATTATGGTAGTCATCATCTCATAGGATGACTCCTATGACTCCTCAATCTCCCAATGACTCCAATCTCATTGGGAGATTTAGATGAGTTAATATAGGTAAAGCTTTTCTATCAGTGCCTAGCATATATTTTAGTGTTAGCTATTATTATTATTCCATCCCTCAGTTATATCTAGAACTCATCTTTGTCCCCTGGCTTTCTATATGTAGCACCCATTTTGTGCCCAACCCAGGGCTAAGTACTTTGGGAGGCACAGAAGTATATGGCATTGTCTCCAGAAATGACCATGACAAGTTGGAAGAAAGGGGATGTGCCTTAAAAGGGAGGTAATATATAATTAAGTATGAAGAGAAATACAGATAGGTGGTGTAGTTCACCACAACCTGTAATCACAGGGGTGTGGAGGTCACCGAAGGCTGCGTGGAAAAGCTCAACGTTTAGCTGGGACTTAAAGATTGGCTGTGATTTGCCAGAAAAATAATAGGCAGTACAGTCTAGGCAAAGGTGTGACTGCAGGGATGATCAGAATTTAATAGATTAGTCTGGCTGAAAATAATTGGGTTAGGTAACAATAAAAGATAGGATTATGAAAAACCTTGGCTATCGGCAATCCAGGTTTGAAAGTTCCACTGTAAGATATGGGGAGCCACTGCAAGTTTTCAAGCAAGAGAGACAAATGATGAAAACAAGAGGCTTATTTTAAACACGAAGATGGGTAAGACAGGATTCCTTATAGCAACTCATGATCTCATAGGTAAAATAAGCATATAAGCTCAAACCATAATGACAGAGTGCTGTGGAGGCACCATGAAGTAATAAAACTACATTTCTTTTAAAACAGTCATTTCCTCCTTCTATCCATTCCCCAGCTATTTGTTGGTTTTATAAATATTTGAGTTTGCTTTATGTCCACGCGTTGGCTTTAAATATGAAAGATGATGCACATAAGCAGGATCTAGTCCATACTTTGAAGGAGTTTATACTCAGAGGAAGTGGGTTGCAAAAAGAGCTATATTTAAAGAAAGAAATGAATATGGGCAATGAGAGCTACAAGTTGGTACTGGAGCACAAAAGAAGGAAAAAAGACTTCAAATTGGATCAGGGAAGACGTTACTAGAGCAATGCTGTTTAAATGGGACCTCGAAGGGCCATTGGGTTTCAATGACAGACATCTTGGGAAGAATAAGGTTGGGAAAGGAAAGTGGGAGAAAGGCAAAACACAGGAAAAATACTCTGAGTACCTGTAGAGTACAAGTGGGAAGAGTAGGAGATTAGAGCCAGATCATCTAGGGCTTTGGAGGCCAAGCCAAGGATAACATGCCAAGCTAGCATGTTACCACAGCAGTGCTTTAGGACAAGCTTTAGCCTGCAACAGAACCAACCACTTGGAGGGCTTGTGAAAACACAAGCTCCACCCCAACAGTTACTGATTCAAGAGGTCCAGAGTAGGGCTGAGTATTTGTATCTTCATTAATTCACAAGTGATGCTGGTATTTCAGAACCACTTCCAGAGAGTTAATCTGGGGATCGCGTGGAGGATGGCTTAGAAAGGGAGAGGGTAGAGATGGAAACACCAGTCAGAAGACAGTTATACCCATCCAGGTCAAATGAGAGACTAAGCTAGAATCAATGGAAATAAGATAGTCAGCTATAGTCAAGAGTAGGTATTTTCAAATAAAAGTCAAAATGATAGAAAGTGTAATCCTGAATTAACGTTACATATTAATGATAGGAATAACTTCCTTTCAAGTTGTGTGAAAGGTTATCTTTTATTTCTTCTGGTAATGAATTGGCGTAGAAAAACAGAACTATACTGGGAAGTGCGTAAATATAAGAATATTCCTTTTAATAGAAGAAATTATAATATATAGAGATAAAAACTTTGGGTTCATAATCTAGAATTTGATTAGACAACGAAAGGTGGAATCTAATCAATGCTTCTTCTCTCAGGAAAGATTACCTCCAAAATCTATCAGGATCTATAGTTGTATATTTAATTTATGAAGATCCTGAATGTGAGACTTTTAAGAAAGATGAAGGCAGGGTGAGGAACTCTGAAAGGTTCAAATAGTAATTCCTAAGGTTTGGAGTTTAGACCAAAGCTTCTTATTTATTATTATCATTCTAACCTCTACTAGTTATTCCTACTAATTAGGTATCTAATAGCAAATTGAAGCAATATATTCCTTTTAATTTTCCTAGAGATTTTTCCTGCAATAAAATACCATCTGTCGAAAAAATTACATTAGAACCACTACCTTTTTTGCAGTTTATGTAAGTTACAAATATAACTTCATTATATTTGGAATTTTTATAAAGCTTAATTTTTTATAAAATTAATTTGTTACTCATTTTGAAATATGATTAAAATTACCAGTAAAATTTTGTAGCAAATCCTTTTTGTCTCTAGCAAAGATTAGTGTGAGAATTATTACACAGATCAGAGTGAATCATTATAGAGCAGTGGTTCTCACCCAAGGTGATTTTGCACGCAGGTGACATTTGGTAGTGTCTGGAGACATTTTTGCTTGTCAGATCTGTATATGCTACTGACATCTAGTGGACAGAGGCCAGAGATGATAGTAAACATCCAAGAGTGTGCAGGAGAGCCTCCCACGGCAAAGAATTATCCAGCCAAAAATGTCTATAGTGCTGCCTTTCTAGAGAAATAAAGATCACTTAACACAAGTATTTAATGAGCATTTAGTATTTTGTATCTAATGCACCACATATATAATCATGAAAGTATAAATCATAATATCTTCCACAGTGAGATTTCTTTAGTGCATGGAGGGAGTGGTGATGTTATGTTTCATCATATATAAATTAGAATGATTGCCAAAGGATAAATATTCTGAAAGTATATATATTTTTCTTTTTATTTTGCTTGTGTTTTTTTTGTAGAAATCTTGGTTGCAATTTACTCACAGAACTGAGCTTTGGAACGTTTCAGGCCTGGCATGGAATGAAATTTTTCCACAAGTAGTAAGTGAAATAGAAGATGAATACATGTGAAAAACTGTGTATAAAAACATCTTGCAGTTATTGGTTAGCTGGGTGTAAGCCCAGTATGAATTCTGGAAAGGATGTCTTGAGAGCCATTTATTTTATTTGTTTTCAAATGAGGAAGCTTAGGTACAAAGAGGCCAAGAGACTTGTTTAACTCATATATGAAACCCTCTGCTTTCCATAGTACTGAACTTTGGCTCGGGCAATAAAAGGCACCAAGCAAAAACACTCAAAGTCGCATTGTCAGGGAATCCCATTGATGCCTCTCCAATATGTGAATGGCCCATGAAGTTCCACTTTTGAATTTAACTTTGATTCCTGCTCATGTGCAAAGTTCCTAACTACTTAAAATGTATGCAACACAGAGCTGCAAAGAACTAAGTTTAGCACCGAATTCTTCAGGGAGCAAAAGGTGTGGGTGCTTCCCCAACCATTATTAGCTCTTTTAAATGGCAAAGCAGAAAGAATTCCTGAACACACACCACAGGGCATTCCCCAGTCACCCAGAACATTATTTTTCAGAAAGCATATATCTCTGAAGTGTAATATTTGTGGCCAGTAGGAACTTTTGAGATATGGAAAAAGACGTTGTTTGTGTTCAGCTGTAGTGTGAAAAATATAAAGAAAATACATTGCTGTAGCCTAATACAATATACGTTCTTTGCTGACTACTCTTCAATAAGAAGTGTGGGTTTTACACCCCTTCAGCTCAAAAATTCTGTGATTTCTCATGACACAAGGAAATGATAGTGGGTACGTTCAATGGACCGAAGGCGATTTTAGACTCAAGGTAAAAAGAGCTCTTCTACACCTGGCTTTGGAAAAGATTCTCTTACCTGTCTTGTGGGTCAGAAATCCAGTTTCACACAGTTCACACATTTTGGGTTAATGAAGGTGTTGAGGCTGTGTCTGGAACTGGATTAGCAATTCCTGCAGATGCCTATCTTTAGTGGCCTCCTTTCTTTCCCTTGTTACTTTGCTGATGCCTACCTTGGGGAGAGAGCACCAAGGGTCAGTTGTTCTTTTGCCAGTACATCGGAGAGCAGGCTGATGAGGTCCCTTCACCAGGAGGTTTTAGTAGCGTCAATACAAGGTCTTAAACTCACCACCTTTCCTAAACATCCTATAACACAAAGAGTTCCTTATAAGAATCAGAGTTTCACTATAGTTATGTAGGCAACACCGGAAAATATATTGTGGAAATAAATAAACAAACAACCAAACAAATAAATAAATAAATCACAGTTTAAAGATTAAGAATTCATTCAAAAACATTCACTGAGTACCATGCCCACTGTGTGTCAGCACTGTACTACGTGCTGGAGATACAAAGGCACATAGGGCAGGAACGTTGTCCCCAAGAAGCTTTCATACTGGAAGGAGAAAGATGAAAGTTGATGGGAAAACATAGATGAGAGCCATTCTAGCATCTGTGCAGCAGGGTAACAAGGTGATGGGGCGGGGGATGAAGTAGAAAATGGGTGGTAGGTTAGAAAAGATTTGTAATGGAAGAGGCACCAACTTGTTCCTTTTGAATTTGTTTTCCTCTTTAATGACTGAAAAAGTTAGTGAAAGATAATCAGAACTATCTGGAGTTGGAAATAAATTAGTACTGTACTCCTAAAACTCATTCACAGTTACTTTCAAAAGATTGTCACAGTATAGTAAGTCTTTGTTTTGGGCTAAGTCTTTCTAATAGACAAAGCTAATTTGATTCAGGAAACATTTGCCATGGTGAGATAAAAAGTTTATTGCATCTCTTTCCAAAGGCAAGCCACCAAGGGAAGATGCCACCCTCGAGTTAAGTCATTTTACTACCTATAATGACATATTACTGGGGTGTTTATAAGTTGCCTGCATTAAATAAGTTTGGAAAAGGGCCTCAGCTGAGGTGGATTTATCATGAATTCAATGAAGCTTAGGCTTCAGGGCTCCTCACTTGCATAGGTCCCTTCCAAAGTCTTGAGAGGGGTCTTAGCGATTTTTGTATTCACAACTTTGCATGTTTTTATTAGATAGGATTTCCCAAAGTAGATGAGGTTGAGGCCCCACAAAACCTTGATTCATCACCGGGTTGCAGGTAATTATAAGTCAGTAGGTTTCTTGAATGAAGCCTCTGTGTTATTGACAAACATCAGGTGAAGTAGTTAGCAGTGTGGTAGTCTATTTTAAATCTGAAATCTACCTCAAAGATGAACCAAGAGTTTATTAATTAGTAAAGTACCACTTTTTGACTGGTGGTAGTAATCATATCTCTCTCAGATAAAATCAGGAATGAAATATATTATGGAAAAGCAGCAGTGGTTGATAATCCTAAATGTTAAGTATACTTTTTCTTTCTGAATTTATAGTGTTTCTCCTTCATTCACCTATGCAGGTCCAGACTGATGGCTTATTTTTAAAAATTCTTTTAGTCACTTCATTGGTTCTAACAATACAAGCTCCATGATTTTAGAAACTGAAGGACTCTGCAGTGTATAAAGGCTATATAACTTAACCAGACAGAGTGCATTCACATGCTGTCTTATCTGTGGTACACCAATATTGAACCAAGAACAAGAGAGAATAAGAGGAAAATCAAAGCCTTATCCCTATTAAATTATTTACCCCATTTTTGAGAATATCAGTGAGGGAGGGGGGGCCACACTATGAAGGCAAATTGAGCTGCGGTCACAGAGCCGCACTAATGCTCCCCCAGTCAACCAGCACTGGTTTCCTTTAGATAGCTATGTACACACAAAAGCTGACACACTTCAGGGTGCTGTCATGACTTTTTGCTATGTACTAGAATCCTGGCAGCTTCTCAGATTTAGAAAGGCATAAACGCTAAAAAAAAAAATAACTTGGGTCTGCCCTTTGCCATGATTTAGAGTGGCTGTTTTATTTGTAATAGTTCAAAATTTTGAGACTGTCACACCTAGCAACTACTATACTTTTCTTCTCCCAACTGTGTCTTATTCTTCCCACCTGTAATATTTTCTCCCATTCTGTATGTTTTTTTCACTTTCTTGATAGTGTCCTTTGAAGCACAAACTTTTTAATTTTTATAAAATCCAATTCATCTATTTTTCCTTTGGTTGTTTGTGCTTCGGGTATTATATCTACGAAACTGTTGTCTACTGCAAGGACTACTCCTATGTTTTCTTCTAAGAGTTTTATAGCCTTTGCTCTTATATTTGGAAATTTGATCCATTTGGAGTTAATTTTCATATATGGTGTGAAGTGTAGGAGTGCAGCTTCATTATTTTGTGTGTGGATGTACAGTTGTCCCAGCGTCATTTGAAAAGACTCTTCTTACCACATTGAATTGTTTGGGCACGCTTGTTGAAAATCAATAGACCATAAATATGAGGGTTCATTTCTATACTGTCATTTCTGTTCCATTGATATACATGTCTTGTCTTATTCCAGTACCACACTGTGACTGCAGTAGCTTTGAACTGAGTTTTGAAACCAGGATGTGTGAGTCCTCCCACTTTGTTCTTTACCAACATTGTTTTGGTTATTCTGTTTCCTTGAATTGCCATATGAATTTTAGAATTAGCTTGGCAGTTTCTGGAAAGAGGTCAGCTGGGATTTTGAAAGGATTTACAATGTAACCATGGGTTGATTTGGGAAGTAGTGACATTTTAATATGACTATCTTCCAGTCCATGAATCCAGCATGTCTTTTTATTTATTTAGATCTTCTTCAATTTCTTTCAACAGTTTTGTACTTTTCAGTGTGAATCTTGCACTTACTTGGTTAAATTTTTCCCTAAGTATTTTATTTGTTTTGATGCTGTTACACATGGAATTGTTTTCTTAATTTCACTTTTGGATTACTCATTGCTCGTGTGTAGAAATAATTTTTTTTTTCTTTTGTGGTATGCTGCCTCTCACTGTTGTGGCCTCACCCGATGCGGAGCACAGGCTCCGGACGCACAGGCTCAGCGGCCATGGCTCACGGGCCCAGCGGCCCCCCGCGGCATGTGGGATCCTCCCATACCAGGCCACGAACCTGTGTCCCCTGCATCGGCAGGTGGACTCTCAACCACTGCGCCACCAGGGAAGCCCTAGAAATAATATTGATCTTATATCCTGAAACCTTGCTGAATTCATTTATTAATGCTAACAGTTATTTTCCTACATTCCCAGGAATATGTCTTGTGGTCTTCCAGTTTCCCAGGAATACATTGGCACATTTCAGTCTCTGTGGACATCTCATTCCTCAGCTTTTCTTTTTAAGCTTTTTGGTTGGGCTGTTTTTTGCCCCAATCTGTTATCCATTGTCTCATGCAACCGCCATGTTAAAATATTTGCTTCAAAATGTTTTCCGAAATGCCACCTGAGGAACGGCTTTTCTCACTAGACTGCTCGTGGTCGGGTCAAAGACAAGCCTTTCACGTGAGGTCTTCCAGGGGACCACCAGACATGTAAAACAATGACAGTTCTTTGGGAATGAGTCTTTTTGAAGGACCTCCCAGACCATGCTGCTCCTTCTGGTACCAGGGATGTAGGCTGTTTTTCAAGGCTACCACTGGCATGGAGAGCAAAGGTCAAGGACAAGTTCAAGCAACACAGCTCTGATAGTTCTTACAGAAATTAATTTGTTTTCCTTGAATAAATTGCCCCCCAGTGTGTTGCGAGCCTGTTGGTTAAATATCCAGAGTTCAGAAGAAGTTGATTCTGACCATTTTTGCCAGTTTTGTTGTTGTTGTTATTGTTATTGTTGCTTCTATGGAGGGATGAATTTTTAGATGTCCTTCCTCCATCATTTTATTACTGCTTTTCCTGCAATGTTTTTTAAAATCTCTAAAGTCTCAATGACCATAGGCTAATTAAATATTTATTATGGGAGATGATTAAGGAAAAAATAAATAAAAGGAAAAATAAATAAATAAATAAAAAGAGAAAATATAATTCTCATAGAGGCTTTCCCAGATGGGTAGATGAAGTTTGAAAAGGTATTTCTATATTTAGTGCTCTCCAAATTAAGGTTAAAGTGAAAGATATTTTATAAAACCCCCCCTTTTATTTTCATTCATGTTAAACACAGGCTTTAGAGTCAGAACTGAGTTCAAATTCCAGCTCTGCTTCTTACTAGCTTGATGACTTAGGACAAGCTATGTAACTTCTCTGTGCCTCTGTTTCCTCATTTGTACAATGGGGTAATATATCTATCACATAAGGTTACTGTGAGGATTAAATGTTAAATGCTGATCACAGATCCCTGGCAACCCAAAAGATATTAGTTTTGATGATTATTTTTATAATATTCTGCAAAAGTACACTAATAATTCTTGAGTAGAGTTAACCTAAAGTCAGATATTCTTTTCTTTCTTCCTGTTTCTTTTGGGGTTTTTTTTTTCCCCTTACTTGTTTTACAGAGCAAAGGAAAAAAAAAAAGAGAGAAAGAACTAAGAAGAAAATCTACTCCAGCATTTTGGAATAAAATTTTGTTCCCCAAAATTAATTTGTTTATTTTATTGATACATAAACAAAATGTTATTTATTTATTCAGCAAACATTTATTAAATACCTAGTAAATATATAGCCACTATGTCAGGCACAGGAATAATAATGACAGTAAAGTGTGGTCCCTGCTCTGAAGTTGCTGACAATCTTGGAGACTGACAAGTAAACCGTTGATTACATACACAGTAACAAAGGCTATGATACTAGAATACACATGGGAATATGTGATGGGAGTATGGCTTTCACAAGTTCCTCTTGGATTTATCGCTTCTTCTTTGGCTCCAGAACCAAGGAATTAGACCTATTTTTGTCTTTAATTGGGTAGTTTAAATCATGAAATTTTCAAAAAATTTGTAGAGATGAAAGAAATCACCTTAAATTATGGAGGACACTAGAAATAGTAGTTTTTTACAGAGCAAGGGCTTCCTAACAGTATAGTCACTTCGAGGGTTTTGAACCTGAAAAGTTCTTTGGCATATTTTTTCTATGCTAGCCACTTTTTTTCTATTTTTTTGTTTCTCTTCTCCACTTTATCATCTAGAGACCTGCCTAGTTCCCAATGAAAGGGTGTTTTACAAATTCTAATGGTGATTTATAGGTAAAGAGAGAAAATGGGTTTTTTTTGACCTTCAAGTTCCATACCAAAAAAAATGAATATAAGCTTTCATGGAAGTAATTGAAAATGCAGATAATTTTAATTCCATTCCATTTTTCAGAATTCTCAATCGTAATCCTTTGACAACAGGTGAAGATTCTTATCTTTTTAAATTGCCAGCATTAAAATATTTGTAAGTATTGCAACACTTTCATGGCTCATGAGATAATTTCTGCTCCTTCTTTCTTTCGTCAAAGATTGAGTACTTTGGGTAAAAAGTCATAATTTAGATTTTAACTGGGTTATTGAAAATAAGAGTTATTGGCAAAGAAAAGGATTAAGAAAGAATATACGGGTAAGACAGCCAGCAGAGAATGAGAACAGTGTTGAAGAACACATATAGTTATGGAAGATGTAGATGCATGTAGGAATATTATTTATCCCAGAAAGCAAAAAGGAATAAGGGGTACATTATTTTTTTTAAAAAGAGTGATCAAAGAGGTAGATGCAATTGAAAATGAGAAGCTAGGATAATAAAAAATGATTGTGCTGTTCAGCACCAAGGTCATTCATTTGATGATGCAAATTTAAATTTCTTCAATAAGAGCTCTTTGGAATTATCATCTATGGCAAGTCAGAAGCCAGAATTGAAGTAATCACATGTTAAGTATCTTTTTAAGTGTAGAATTTTTGTCTTTGGGTTTTATATCATGCATGTTTGGGCTTCTCCTTCAGAGACATGGGAACAACACAAGTGTCACAGCAATTGAAAGCATCGTCATGATGACCCTTGAATTGGAAAAACTGTAAGTTGATTTTTCTTACATTTATTTTCACTCATTTGTTTTTTTTAGGTTTGTTTTATTATTTTCTTAAGTCAGGTTTACTTATGTATAATTTTCATTTCACAAAATTCACTGTTTTTAAATATACAGTGTGATGTGTTTTGAGAAACGTATAGTTAGTTCTGTAGCCACCACCACATTTGAGGTAAAGAACATTTTTGCACTCCCAAAAGACCCCTCATGTCCCTTTGTAGTCAATCCATCCTCCTCCCACTACCAGCCCCTGGCAACAACCAGTCTGATTTTTGTCCATGTAATGTTGCCTTTTCCGGAATGTCTTATAACTGAAATCATGTGGAATGTAGCCTTTTGTTTTTGGCTTCTTTCACTTAGTCTCTTTGGAGATTCATCTGTTTTGTTGCACCTGTCAATATTTCATTCCTTTTTATTGCTGAGCAGTATTCTAGTTGTGTGGATATACAGTTTGTTTACGCATTCAGTGATTGATGAACATTTGAGTTTTTTCTAGTTTTTTGGCAGTTTTGAACAAAGCCTCTGAAAACACTCACACGTGTGTGTGAACATATGTTTTGTGCGAGCATATGTTTTCATTTCTTTGGGGTAAAATACCTAAGGGTGGGATTGCTTCATCATATGCTAAGCGCATATTTAACTTTTTAAGAAACTGCTAAACTGTTTTCTAAAGTGCCTGTGCCTTTTTGGTTTCCCACTAGCAGTTTATGCGAGTTTCAGTTGCTCCACATCATCACCTGATCCTTATATTTGTTTTTTAAAAAAATTTAGCCTTTCTCGTAGGTGTGTAGTTGCATCTCGTGGTTTTTGCCACATTTTGCATTTCTGTAATAGCTGATGATGTTGAGTGTCTATTGATGTGCAAATATCTTTTTAAAGAAGTGTCTGTTCAAATCCATTTTTAAATTGGATATTTATATTGAGTTTTAAGAGTGCTTTATATAAAAAGCAATGGAAAAAGTCCTTTCTCTCAGATATGTGTTTAGTAAATATCCTCTCCCAGATTGTGACTTATCTTCATTGTATTACAGTGTCTCTGAAGACTAGAAGTTTTAAATTTTTGATGATCTCTAATTTAGCAATTTTTCTTTTTTTTCATATTTATTTAATTTATTTATTTGGCTGTTCTGAGTCTTAGTTGCGGCAGATGGGCTCCTTAGTTGCGGCTCATGGGCTTCTTAGTTGTGGCATGCGAACTCTTAGTTGCGGCATGCATGTGGGAACTAGTTCCCTGACCAGGGATCGAACCCGGGTCCCTGCATTGGGAACTCAGAGTCTTAACCACCAGGGAAGTCCCTTAGCAATTTTTCTTAGATGGTTTGTGCTTTTCTGTGTCTTATCTAAGAAATCTTTGTCTGAGACCCCATTGTCTAACCCAAAATCACAACGATTTTCTCCTATGTTTTCTTCCAGAAGTTGTATAGTTCCATTTAGGTCTATGATTCATTTTGAATTAATTTTCATATATGTTGTGAGGGAAGGGTCAAGTTTCATTTCTTTGCAGTTTAAAAACTATTTCTGTAGGACCCTATTGTGACAGTTTATTACACAACTTACTGCACCTTAAACTGTGCCATCCCCCCTCCAATATGGCAAGCTAATAAAAACTTCCTGTTATGCCAAGGCTAGGTGAGGGGATTGCATGAGATTAGTATGCAGAAAGGGCCCTGCATTTAGCACTCTATTCCAACCATCTTAGGTCAGCTGACAAATGAGTGTCTTCACCACGCCATCACACATTATTCACTGCTCTAGCCTCATCTTCCTCAGCCTCCCATTGCGATCCCTCTCTTGTCAGCTAGATGCCTTCCTCTGTGGATATTAAAAATTATTTCTCTATGTAACTACAATACTGTTAACACACAGTATTGAAGAAATTAAATTCCTACACAATATTACCTTATAAAGAGTTGCTATTCAAATTTCCCCAGTTGTCTCTCTCATATAATATCATTTCTTTTAACAGCTTTTTGAGGTATAATTGACATAGAATAATCTGTGTTCACACACACACATATATAAACACCATGAAGACATCACCAAAATCAAAATGTCCATCTCCTCAGAAAGTTTCTTAACGTCTCTTTGTAATTCTTCCTTCCCATTGTTCCTGCCCTTCCCAATCACCATGCAGCCCTTGCTCTGCTTTCTGTTTGCATTTTCTAGAATTGTATGTAGATGGAATCATACAGTGTATACTTTCTTCTAACTGGTTTCTAACTCAGCATGATTATTTTAATTTTCATCCATATTGTTGTATATATCAGTAATTCATTTCTGTTTATTGCTGAATAGTATTACATTATATTGATGAACCACAATTTATCTATTCACCATTGATGAACATTGAGTTGTTTCAGTCTTTGTCTATTACACATAAAGTTGCTATGAATATTTGTGTACAAGTGTTTGTATGGATGTATACTTCCATTTCTCTTGGGTAAATACCTGCAAGTAGAATGGCTGGATCATTGGTTAGTGTATGTTTAAGTTTTTTAAAAATACCTATTTTCCATAGTGGTTTGATCATTTTACATCTCTACCAGCAGTGTATGAGAATTGCATTTTCTTCACGTTGCGGCCAACGCTTGCTATGCTCAGTATTTTTAATCTCAGATAGTTTAATAGGTGTGTAGTTGTATCTCACTGTAGCATCCCTAATGATTAATCATGTCAAACGTCTTTTCATATGCTTATATTCCATCTGTATATCTTTTTATCTTTTATATATATTTTTCTGGAGTTTCGAGAGTTCTTTATATATTCTGGAAATTAGTCCTTTATTGAATATGTAAGTTGCAAAGTATTTTCTCCCATTCTGTGACTCATCTTTCCGTTCTCTCGGGAGTGTCTTTTGCAGGGCAGAAATTCTTAATTTTGATAGTGTCTAATTTATCTATTCTTTTCTTTCATGGATTATGCTTTTGGTGTTGTATCTAAGAAATTTTGCCTAACTCAAGGTCATAAAATTTTTCACCTGTTTTGTTCTAGAAATTTTATACTTTTATGTTTTACATTTAGATCTTTGAACCAATTTGAGTTCATTTCTGTATATGGTTTGGATGGAAGTTCTTTTTTTTGTTTGGTTTTTGCACCTGTGTATTCAATAGTTCCAGCATCATTTGGTGAAAAGACTATCATCTCTCCACTTAAATGCCTTTGAACCTGAAAGTCAGTTGTCCACATCTCTCTACTTCTGAACATTCTATTCTCTTCCTTTGATCCTTTTGTCTGTCTTTACCCTACTATCACAATGTCTTGAAAGTGTTACTTCATAAGCCTTGAAATCAGTTACTGTTAGTTCTTCAACTTTGTTCTTTTTCAACGTTGTTTTAGTTATTCTAAATTTTATTTCCACATGAATTTTAGAATTAGGTTGTCAATTTCTATAGAAAAGCCTACTGGTATTTTGATCTATAAATCAGTTTGGGGAGAAATGATGTCTTAACAATATTGAATCTTCTGATCCATGAATACATTTTATCTCTTCATTTATTTAGGTCTTCGTTAATTTCCCCCAGCAATATTTTACAGTTTTCACTGTGCAAGTCTTCTACATGTTTTGTCAGATTTATTCTAAGTATTTTATATGTTTGATTCTATTATAAGTAGTATTTTAAAACTTTGATCTCTGATTGTTTGTTGAGATAAATTAATCTTTTTGTATGTTCATCTTGTACCCTGCAAACTTGAGAAACTCATTGATGAGTTCCAGTAGCAATTTTGTAGATTCTATCAGGTTTTCTCTATCATCATGTTATCTGCAAATAAAGATAGTTCTACTTCTTCCTTTCCTTTCTGAATATCTCTTTTCTTTTTGTTGCCCTATTGCACTGGCTAGAACCTTCAGTGCAATGTCAAATAGAAGTAATGAGAGCAGACATCTTTGCCTTTGTCCTGATACTGGCGAGCAAGTTCTTTGTCCTTCACCATTAAATATGATGTTAAGTTTTTTGTAGAAGTCATTTATCAAATTGAGGAAGTCTCCTTCCATTCCTCGTCTGCTGAGGGCTGTTTTTTTTCCTTTAATCAGGAATGGATGTTAGAGTTTTTCATTCTTTTCCTGCATCTATTGCAGTGATTATGTGATTTTTCCCTTCTTTTCTTTTCTTAATTTGTTTCTTTATTTTTGGGCTGTATTGGGCCTCCATTCCTGCATGCAGGCTTTCTCTAGTTGTGGTGAGCAGGGACTACTCTTCATTGCAGTATGCCGGCTTCTCATTGCGGTGGCTTCTCTTGTTGCAGAGAATGGGCTCTAGGTGCACGGGCTTCACTAGTTGTGGCACATGGGCTCAGTAGTTGTGACTCACGGGCTCTAGAGCTCAGGCTCAGTAGTTCTGGTGCATGGGCTTAGTTGCTCCGTGGCATGTGGGATCTTCACTGACCAGGGGTCAAACTCATGTCCCCTGCAGTGGCAGGTGGATTCTTAACCACTGCCCCACCAGAGATGTCCTGATTTTTCTTTTTTAATGTAGTAAGTTGGTAAATTGATTTTCAAATATTAAACCAACCTTTCATTCTTGAGATAAACCCCACTTGGTCATGATGTATCATCTTTTTATATATTATTGGATTTGATATGCTAAAATTTTGTTAAGATTTTTTGCCTCTGTGTTCATGAGAGATAGTGGTCTATAGTTTTCTTGTAATGTCATTGTCTAATCTTGATACGGTGAAAGTTGGCCTTATAAATAAGTTGGGAAGTATTCCCTTCTCTTCAACTTTCTGGTAGAGTTTGTGTAGACTTGGCATTATTTTATTCCTTAAATGTTTGGTAGAATTTATCAGCTAAGCCACCTGGACTTGAAGCTTTCTTTGTTGGAAGGTTTTAAACTGCACACCCAATTTCTTTAATATCTGTATTCTTGAATAAACTTTGGTAGTGCATGCGTTTCAAGGAATTTGTCCATTTCATCTTGAATTTATTAGTATAAAGTATTCTATATATTCTCTTATTATCCTTTTAATATCTATAGTATTTTTGTTTTCCATTTTATTTATTTCTACTTTGATCTTTATTGTGTTCTTTCTTCTCTTACTCTGTGATTAATTTGCTCTCATTTTCCCAGTTTAAGGTGGAAGTTGAGGAAACTGAGTACCGCATTAGCAATAACCCACATGTTGACATATTATGTTTTCAGTTTCAGTGAGTTCAAAATAGTTTCTGATTTCCCTTTTGATTTCTTCTTTGACCACAAAGTTACTCAGAAGAGTGTTGTTTAGTTTCCAAATATTTGGAACTTTTTCAGATTTGTTAATTTCTAATTTAATTCCATTGTGGTCAGAGACATATATTGAATGACTAAAATCCTTTCAAAAAATTTTTTAAGTATTTTTTTTAATTAATTTTTTCTGCGTTGGGTCTTTATTGCTTTGCCTGGGCTTTCTCCAGTTGCGGCAAGCAGGGGCTCCTCTTCGTTACAGTGCATTGGCTTCTCATTGGATGACTTCTCTTGTTGCAGAGCACAGGCTCTAGGTGCGTGGCCTTCAGTAGTCGTGGCACACAGGCTCTAGAGTGCAGGCTCAGTAGTTGTGCCGTACGGGCGTAGTTGCTCAGCGACATGTGGGATCTTCTCGGACAGGGATCGAACCCATATCCCCTGCATTGGCAGGCAGGTTGTTAACCACTGAACCACCAGGGAAGTCCCAATTGCAGTATTCTTAATCTTTTGTGTAGATCCATATTCCAATCTGGTGTCATTTTCCTTTTGCTTAAAAATACTTCTTTTAACATTTCTTATAGTGAAATTCTACTTGTAAAGAATTCTTGCAGCGTTTGTATGTCTGAGACAGTCTTTATTTTGCTTTTGTTTTGATACATCTGGGTATAGAATTCTAGCTTGATAGAATTCAGTTCACTACTTTAAAGATGTTATTCCACTGAGTTCTCATTTACATTGTTTCCAACAAAAATTCTGCTGTCATTGTTATCTTTGTTCCTCTCTATGTAGTGTGAAGGTTTTTTCTCTGGCTGCTGTTAAATTTTTCTCTTAATTCCTGGTTCTGGGCAATTTGATTATATTTTGTGCCTTGGTGTAGTTTTGTCCATGTTTCTTATGCTTAAAGTTCATTGATTTTCTTGACTTTGTGGCTTTATACTGTTTACCAATTTGGAAAAGTTTTGGCTATTATTTCTTCAAATTTTTGTATTTCTCCTCTCCTTCATGGACTCTAAGTTCACATGTATTAGGCCACTTGAAGTTGTTGCACAGCTCACTGATGCTCTATTAAGTTTTGTTGTTGTTTTGTTTTGTTACTCTTTTTGTTTCATTTTGGATAGTTTCTATTACTATACCTTAATGTTCACTGACCCTTTCTTCTGCAGTGTCTAATCTGCAATTAACCTCATTCAATGTCTTTTTAATTTAGCCATTGTTTTTAACCTCTAGAAGCTCAATTTGGGACTGTTTTCCGTTTTCCGTGCCTGTTCTTAACATTTTCAGTGTTTTGTCTGGGTTTTTGAACATATGAAATACAGTTATAATAACTTTTCTTCATGTATAAAAACTTTTAAAATGTTCTTTTCTGCGAATTCTAACATCTGTATAGATTATGGGTTAGTTTTGATTGATTGCCTTTTCTCCTCACTATGGGTCATATTTTCCTACTTCTTTGCATGCTTGGCAGTTTTTCATATGATCCCCGATACTGTGTGTTTTTGTTTCTTGTGTACTATATATATTTAAATTCTTGTAAAATGCTTGGGCTTTGTTTTGGGTGGAATGAAGTTACTCAAAACAATTTTATTCTTTTAGGTGTAGCTTTTAAGATTCATTGGGTAGGAGTCCAAGTACCCTTTAGTCTGGAGCTCATTATTTGCAACTACTGAGACAAGTCTTTTCTGAATATCATGAGGTTTTCCAGTTTGACTTGTAGGAACAGGTACTATTCCTACAACCCTATGTGATATCCAGATATTCTTATTATTAATCCTTTCATGTGGTTCTTTTCCTGGTATCAAGTAATTCCTCACACAGATGTACTGACAAATACTTTGTTGAATTCTCAAGAGATCCCTCTGCATATCTCCAGAGTTCTTTGTCTGTGCACTTCTTTTCTCTCTGGTAGTCTGCTTTGTGAACTCTAGTTACCTTGGTTTTCCCAGACTGTCAGCTCCATTTCGTCAGTCAGGGAGTCCACCAGTCTCTGCCTGGACTTCTCTTCCCTGTACCATGACCTGGAAACTCTCTCAGAGAAGTAAGTTAGGGCAATTATAGGGATCACTTCATTTATTTCCTATCTTCTGGGGATCTCTGAACTTTATTGCCTGAGGTCCAGTTTCTTGAAAACTGTTGTTTCATATGTTCTGTCTGATGATTTCATTGTTTCAGGTGGGAGGTTAAATTGGTCCTTGTTACTTCATCTTGGCCAGAGCCAATAACATTCAGTCTGTTTTATTTTGATACAGGGTCCAATTAAAGATTAGGCATTGCATGTCATATCTTTGTTTCCTTTAATCTAGAATATTTCCCTATTTTTTTTTTTGGTCTTTTATGACATTGGTATTTTTGAAGACTCTAAGCCAGTTAGCTTGTAAATTGCCTGACAATCTGGATTTGTCTATTTCTTCATTAGACTCAAAGTAAATATTTTGGGGAAGAATACTATGTAGGTGATGTATTCTTCCTACTTCATCAGTTCAGGTGGCCCAGTGCTAAGTTTGATCACTTGATTAAGGTGGTATCTTCCATATCTCTCCATTGTAAAATTATTTTTCCCCTTGGTAATTGATAAATCATATGTGGGGTGATACTTTGGGATCAGTAAAGATCCTACTTTCAAACAACTCTTCGCCCAGCTGTGCATCAGTGATAATCCTTGTCTTAATCGATTATTACATTGATAGATGCAAAATGACACTTTCCTAATTCTATCATTCCTTTTGCATTTATTAGTTGACATTATTATATAAAGAAGAGCTCCCCCACTTTTCATTTGAGTATCATTATGAACTTATGTGCTTTTTTATAAGTTAACTATGTTATACCTTATTATAATGATAATGTTATTCTTTGGAATGTTCCTTTTGTCCAGATTTGGCCAAAGTGACCTCTGTTATTGTTTAACCCCACGATGCTTTTCTATTACTAGAATAATTTCTACTATATTACTACTCACAAATAGGAACTGAGAAAGGGACTCCAGAAGGTGCAGTCTTATTCAGACTCTTCTTAGAAGTGTGCCTTCTTCCTGTGTCCTCTCGACCCAAAGTGAGGCTTTCGGGTTGGAAGGAGATACTTCGGATTTAAACTACAGATCAGTGTCACCCAATTCTAATCCCTATTCCCTTTTTTCTAGGCATACCATATCTACTGCCATCTTAATCCTTCTGTTGGGCACATCTCTCCTCCTCTGTATTTATTTACAACAGTCAAGAGCAGCAATTGGCCAACCGACCCCTATCCAGTTCTGCAGTCCATACGCCCCAAGAACTCCTTTTTGCACTGGTCTGTGGTGGCCTTGGCCTACCTCTTCTACCTACTCAAGTAACTCTTTTACCACGAATTTAATTACCTGTGTTTCCATTTATAGGATCTTACCTAGCCGTATGGCCTGCTGCCTCTGCCAATTTAAAAATATTATTGAGGTTGTCTGTAAGACAGTCAAGCTGCATTGTGACAGCGAATGCCTGACAGACATCACACGTTGTGGTGAGTCTCAATTGCAGAATAATAAATTTTTAATTTAATATTTTAATTTTTAATCAGTGATGATAAATTTTAATATTAATGATGTAATTGCATTATTTTAATTCATTCATTCAGAGTTCCAGCTCCCTAAGTTTCTAAGAACGTACCCCCTGGCTAAAAATCAGATTCTTGGTTACATTATTAAGCTAATAATAGCTCAGTTACGTTGTTAGCTTAATAACGTAAGGGATCCGCATAGTTAAAGGAACAAGAGAAAGGAATCCAGGGGGGAAGGGAATTAACATTAATGGCCACATATCCTATGCTGTGCTCTGTGCAGATGAGAACTTATTGATATAGTGCATCACAGTTTGTAAACTGATTTTATATACATTAGGTCTCAAGTACCCTTTGTCTTATCGGACAGGTGTAAATATATTTTTGTTTATTTTGTTTGTTTCTGCAATTTTATAAAGAGTACAAGTGATGCTGTTTTATGTCTCCTTTGGAGCCTGAGAGTTTCTGGTTCCATAACCAGAAGCTGCTACGTAGCACTTCTAATGGAATGGAGAGCTAGTTTATTCTTAGATTGTCAAGATCTGAACTTGCTCTGAATCTCAAGCTTTTCTATCTACAAAACACTCAGGGGCTTTCAACTATTTTTCTATATATTAGATTTACTGGCAGTAACTTTTTAAAAAGCGCGGGCGCCCGTTCGCTGGTGCAGTCCGCTTGCGTCCCGAGCAGCGCTCGCGCAGTGATGTTAGGATGCTGCAGTTGGTACCTTTTGCGGTTCCCATCGGGGGTGACAAAACCTTGCTGGTGTGGGAGCTGAGCTCTGGATCCACGGCCGAGGCCTTGCAAGTGAGAGGAACCGGAGCAGAGGGAGGGGTGGAGGAAGCCGCCCCGTGCCCCAGTAACTGGGCTCCCCGGGGTACTGCTTCAGTACCTCTTCTGCCTGTGGTTTCCGCTGAGAGAAATCTTAGTTCTAGAGACGACCTGAGCGGTCAACTCGCCCCCATAGATTTTTGAGGCATAGTTCCCAACAGAAGGCATTGCCTCCTAATTAATGCTTCTCGAAGCTTAGGATTTCAGAGGGAAACTTGTTCATGAAATGAGAAGTGTTTGGAGTAGGAGGCTCACCACAGTTACCTGTGGCGAAGGGCTGGGGGAATATAAGGGAATGGGCGGTTTGGTTTCCTGGGCCTGAAATTTACTGCACTTTCTTAGTGTGAGACCGCCCTACAGCATTCTCTGTTCACAGTCTTCTCCCGGTTTGGCCTTCTGTATTCTGTCTGAGTCTTCCCAAATGCAGCAGTGGGTGGTCCTGGGTTCTATGCCATCATCAAGTTTTATTCAGCAAGGGATGCCCACAGAGCCCAAAAGGCATGTGACCAGAAGCAGCTTTTTCACACATCTCCAGTGAAGGTGGGTCCAAATGTGGAATTCCTCACTCTACTGGGATGATGTGCTGAATTTAAAACTAATAGGCCATCGGGAATTCCCTGGTGGTCCAGTGGTTAGGACTCTGCACTTTCACTGCTGAGGGCGCGGGTTCAATCCCTGGTCTTGGAACTAAGATCCCAGGGCGGGAAAAAAAAAAAGGCCAGCGTTTCTACAGCAATGTGGTGTACAGAGTGCTCTCAGATGCACTGCTCCATTGATCCCCCAGTTTCCTAGTTGTTTCTTTCTTTTTTTTAGATGTAGAAACTCGAACTCAGGATGGTTAAGTGACTTAGTTAAGGTTCATGACAGTAAATGTGGAAACTAGGCCAAACCCAAACTTAACCGATGTTAAACCCCATGTCATTTTATGCTGCCCCTTAATTTAAGAAATCTTCACAAGAGTCTTCCTTATATTTACTTTTATGTTGATTTTAAGTGTGTGAGGTTGACAATTTTTTAAAATTAATTAATTTATTTCTGGCTACATTGGGTCTTGTTGCTGCGTGCCGGCTTTATTTGTGGCGAGCGGGGGTTGCTCTTCATTGCGGTGTGTGGGCTTCTCATCGCGATGGCTTCTCTTGTTGCGGAGCACGGTTTCTAGGCACGCAGGCTTCAGTAGTTTTCGCTCACAGGCTCTAGAGCACAGGCTCAGTAGATGTGGCACACGGGCTTAGTTGCTCTGCGGCATGTGGGATCTTCCAGGACCAGGGATCGAACCCGTGTCCCCGGAACTGGCAGGCGGACTCTTAACAACTGTGCCACCAGGGAAGTCCCGAGCTTGACAAACTTTGGTCAGATGTAACATAAAGGAGGCTTCATCATCTTCATCACTCTCAAACTGCCTATTCAGAACTCGCTTCAGATTCCAGAAAATGGTTAAAATATTCTTTAATGCATTGTAGAAACCTTATTCCATATCAACATGCCATCCAATTTTTCTTCCCCAGAATTAACATTTCATTATGTGCCTCCATTCAGCCACCATTCCTTTTTCAAGGACCTTTCCAATTCCTCTGAATAAGTGAGTGAGGCTTAGATTTCCCAGACCTCTCCCTTTATAATTGTGTGTCTTCTCTGATTGGCTTCTTGCTCTAGCTACTTCCTACTGACC